AAATGTCCCAATGTCAATGTCGATCGATCGAAATTGGATTCAAGAGCAATCCCACGGGTCTATGTAATCAAAATGATGAATGTAACCGCGTCATTCAGATGCCATTTCATTCATAGCACAGGTATGAAAGAGACATAGACGGGATATGTCAATTTCATAATTATGTTCACTATTCACATCACTTTATTTCGATCAAAGTTTATGCCATTTGTCTAGTAGGGCAGGTCAAATTATTTTTTGCTACTGCACAATATGTCGTGGTGTAGTATGTGTCATACCTCACCTGATTTCCACATGGGTCGAATTCCACAAGAACTTCTCTTTGTATTATCCGCAAATTGTTGTTCCGTGTTTTTCAATGCACCAACGACACAAGCGCAAGTAAAAAGAAGTATATTGATCTGTTGGGTACTAAACACTTGGCATAAATACCTATCTAGGTTAATAATTAATAGTATTCTAGGTAACTACCTAGAATACTATCTCTATTTTAAGTAGTCAGTACTATGAGCCAAATGACATTCAAGCTATATAGAGGTAATATAGTCGACAGAAAATAGAAAACTCAATGTAAATTGTCAAAACTGAACGTACATTTTGATATGCATAATAATGTTTTCCAGTGACAGATTAATTAAGTGTGGGAGAGCCATATTTCAGCACGGATGGGCCGGCTCGACCGGAGTGATACCACAGCCTCATAGAAAACCGATGTAACTCAACGCTTTCGTTGTGTTTCGTCGTGTGAGTGAGGTTACCGGAAGCCCATTACCCATTACCAGTCTCGCCAATCTCCGAATCCCCCACAATCCTCAAATTCCCAAAAGGCCGGTAACGCACTTGTAACGCCTCTGCTGTATCGGGTGTCCATGGGCAACGTCGTTTGCTTACCATCAGGTGATCCGTCACCAGAGTGAAAAAGTGACGTCACCAGAGTCTCAATCTCAACCCATCCTAGGTCGCTAAATCCTCAAATCCTTGAGCTCCAAAAGACCAGCAATACACTTTTAACGTCTCTGGTGTTGCGTGAGTCGATGGGCGACACCGATTGCTTACCATCAGATGATCCGTTTGCTCATTTACCGCCATTACATCAAGTGTCAATCCCATACACTGAATTTTCCATTTTCTCATTCGGCTAACACTTAAATGCCATTTGGCTTAAAGCGTAGTTGAAAACTAGTTCGAATAGACATTAGATACAAGTTGAAATGTTTGCCTCTACGCAGATTACGTTTGTGCTGAAGCCATCACTTCAATTTTTGTCTTTGTCACGGATCAATAAAGTTGATATCAATCTATCAAAGACTACTTTTGAATAAAGTAGTCTTAAATCTTATTGTATTTGATTATTCGCGTTTATTTTAAGTTCAATATTCAATCTCATCATTTTGGCTACTAAATTCCTAGCCGAATTAAAAAATAAAGTTTGAGACATTTTTCAACATCCACTGATCGCAAGTGAAATTGTATGGAAAGATATTTCTTCTTCTTATCATCACCCAAGTGCGTCCACATCTAGCGAATGCGCAGCTGCGCGCGTGCAGTTACGGCAATGGTTTGGTGCGCCTCTTCAGCGCACCTTATGCAAGGCTAGTATAAGGTTCGCAAGCGGCTCGCGATAGGCGCGCGATCTGCGCGCACTCAATTCTCGCACCAACATCGTGGACGCACCTTATATCAATTTTAATGATTTAAAACAAACGCGAAAAATTAAAGTGAAACTAGTCCTAAGATTTTAGCTTAAGGTTTTAGTATTAAGAAAAAAATATCACTAATAGCGTATGTCTAGAATTAAGTAAGTAAATCATTTGTGTGTATGTAAATCAACTATATCAACAACAGACACCTGAGAGATTCAAGTTACATGTATTCATAAACCAAATCAAATATATTGATTGCTGTTGATATCACCAGTGGAAAACGTGTTCGTAGTGTGTACTAGTGCAGCTGAAACCGTCTGAGCCTAAGATATTAAAGTACTTAATATCTTACTTTATGTATTAAGTAGTGAGTGTCGTGGTGGCCCGGAGGCTTAAGATTCCCAGCTCGCATGCATGCGGGTGCGGGTTCGAAACCTACCAACGGCATGTACCAATGTGACTTTTTCCGAGTGACAAATGGTTAAGGAAAACATCGCGAGGAGACCTGGGCTTATAATTTCTAATTATAAGTTAGTAATCGCCAACTCGCATTGAGCAAACGTGGTAATTAATGCTCAAACCTGCTCCGTGTGACAAGAGGCTTTGCTCAGCAGTGGGCATATAGGCTGTTGATGGTGATGATGATGATGATGTACTTATGACTCGCAACACACTTCTGGCTTGGTCACTTAATGACTTACCTATCTGTGGAATTTGCTTACTGTTAGATAGAATTTCGAACATAAACTACACACAAAATTCGACTAAATTAAGATAACGTTAGTAATTGAACTTCATCATCGTCACTTTACGTTTACGTCCACTGCTGGAGTTACGCCTCTCCAATATCAGGTCACTGAGCTCGTTCTTCAGCTCTCCTCATCGTACCACTGCCAGCCACCTCGCGGATATCGTCGCTCTAACCCAGCTGAAGAGCGCCGTACACTACCTTTGCCTCGACGCGGTCTTGAATTGAACTTAAAAGGCACAACATCGGAGTTGTCTTTTAAATATATGTTTTTTTTTTGTATATTTACTCAGTATATTTAAGTGCCCGCCATTTTTACTTAATCTTTGGTATACCTTAGGCTCAAAACTTGTCAACTGCCCTAGTCAGTATTAGATATAAGGATAAATGATATATTTCATTAACTGTTACATACGTTATTATATACCTACTTTAAGAATTTTTATCTAAACCTACTTTAACGTACGTAATTTCTGATGTCTAATGAAATTATGGTTTTGTATATCTTATTAAAATTATGTTTTTTTCTGATTTTGTCAATAGAAATGATACGAATATTTTACAAGATATATTAATATCTATCGATATAATTTATTATGGTAATCGTATTTGTAATTTGTGAGTGTAAGGCATTTCGGGTAAAAGTATAGAGTTAGTGGTTTAAGTAGTTTCTTCAAATATTATACGATTATATATTATGCATAATAGCATTTTTGAGGCAGATATTTTCCTGTTCATAGACTGTATGAAGACATGAATGTGATATGAAAACCGTTTTTATTATTATACAGGCATTTTTACGTTGAACAGGCGATCAACGGTATGTCATTGTCAAATAGTGGCGTGCCAACATCGAACGGTTAAGTTCGACAATTTACATGATTTTAAAAATCAATCATAATGATCTAGTAGGTGCTTTTAAAAACGTAATTTTACAATTATTTATATATCGATAAACTTGTAAAACATGTTTTGATTAATAGTAAGTGAGTTTCTACGCGGAAGCTTAGAAAGAAGTAGAATTAGATACACATATTAAAGTTACAATACAAAATACTTTCAAACCAAAGATGCGAAGGAAAATAGGCGATAAACGTTTGTATTGTTAATGACTAGTAATTATTAGTATCGACTCGATGAATTTTTGTAGAGAGTCTGTGGGTCATACATACTACACAGTTTTACTTGGCCCTGGTAACTGAGATGACTCTGGCGGGGTGTCATATTTTTTCTAGTTTTAAGTGTTAATTTAGTTGTCATATTAATATGAAAACATTTTTGTAGATACGACTTCAATCAGTTACCTAATTCCGTTTAACAAATGTTGTTAAAATATAATGGAACACATTGTGAACTTTATCAACACAATTCTTACAAAGTACATAATCAGTCATATACAGTAGTTACTGTGTCGGATTGAGATGTCTTTACACATAACTACTGATATCACCACAAGGAAACCGTGTTCGTATATTTATGTAATATTCAATGTATTATGGTTAAGATATAGTACTCAAAGCTTTTACTGTATTCATTCATGCATTTGATCAATTACTGTATCTTTGCACTTCATACTAAAAATAAGTGTCGAATTAGGTAACATGCTGTCATACTGAAGTAAAATAATTGGTTTATAAAAAAAAATATAAAAAATATACCTACCTTGTATAATTCAATATATTGTAATAAAAACTGAATCATGAACTGTATTGCCGCCGCCGCCGCGTCGTTCGATGTTCTAGATGCACTAGATAATAAGTTTGTGTATGGCTATTTTATTCGTTCGATACTGATTTCTAATAACTATAATGTCTACTTACTATTGCAATTATATTAATTTGAAACATGTATAACGCACTATCATAAATTGTAGATAGTAGGTTGTATTTTAGATTTCAGTTTTCTGGAAATGTCTGTAAATGTAGCATTTTGTATTCAATTTTAATAAACACTTCTTTCCAATATAAATTATTGCATTTTAATTACCTGCACCCATAAAATTATCCTATAAATCTAACTGAAGCTACAGAACCGCATTCGCGCTCGTTCATGAATACCAACCTAATAAATATTCATGAGACTCGAGTTTTCCCGCCTCGCGCCGCTTGCATACGCTATGAAGTGTTGTGCAGGTGCAACAGATGGCAGTAGCTGTACCTACAAGCCATAAATCAAAGTTGTCAGTAAACTTTTCCGTGAGGAGTAACTTAGTTCGCGATGTATCGAAGTATTATTTTAAAGTTCAACTTCTTTTCGCGTGGCCCTTTGGCGCTTATATCGTACTTTTTAGTCAAAATACACTTATAAATGAACTTCTGATGCAAAAATTATTACTTATGTCTTTGTTTGAAGTCATAAAATTACTGATTAACTTTACGGGTGAATATACGAAAAAGTCTACGAGATAGTCGTTTTTGAGTTCTGTTTATTACTTAACGACATTTTTATACCTTTTTCATAGTTCTATTTTTATTCTGTGGTGTAATAAAGTTTGTTTATGTATTTACTATCGAGTATTTTTGAAGGTGATCTGAAGAGTTGAAAATGAATTCCTAGATATTTTATTGGTAATCGGGGATTTCTAATGACTTATTATATTTTCTTTACAGATTGCACTTAGGCCTAGAATGGATTGCGAGTAGAATAAAGAAGAAATGACAAGCCGTGTACCTGTGACTAGTAATTTTATAAATAGGCCCATAAGTACTCTTGTTAAAGTTACATATATTCAAATTCCTAATTACTGTTTGCATTATAATTGTCAAAATAATTAATTCTAATGAGAGACCTATCTGGATTACTGTCCGTTGTTTTGAGTGAATGGGGTATAATTATATTATAATAAAACAATTTCTTGCATACTTTATTTATTTTATTTCATCTACTACAAGTTTTCAGACAAAAATTGTACACACAATTTAAGTTTCTAGGGTTATGTCTATGATTAAATTACGTCAAGTACAACCAAATTATACAACGATTATTACAGTTCTACTAATTCAGAAACAGATGCATAAACTAAACAAGATCTGCTTACAATTAGTGTTGATTAACATCATTATTTAAAATCTAAATTTCATTGACTAAATATTATCGATGGTAATGATTTCAAGTATAACCTTATCACATTAATAAATATTTATGTAGAAAAAAGTTGATATCGGTACACATCATTCAAATTGTAATATTAGCTATGAGATTCAAAACAACAAGTTTCGAAGTTACAACAAGCCATAAATAATAAAAATATGTCGATTTAATTGTACTAATTCTAACTTAAAAGTGGCCATTTCAAAATATAAAAATTAAACTTATTTTATATAAATAATTGTACACTTTTAAATCAATTATATACAAAATAACATTAACAAAATGGAAATAGCGCGATTAAATTAACCAATTACGAGAACCAGCTTATGTAATAAAACTAAAGGAAATAAATGTTTGGTCCTTCAAATGCAATTATAAGATAGCCTTATTAAAAAAATTCTACACAGATCTTTCATTTGTCGACTGAATTCATTTACTATTATTTTACTTATTTGTTCTTTGAGAACTGTATAATTTTTATTAATAAGGCATTTATAACTAAGGCAAGGGTGAAACCAGGCGTCCGAGTTCATATATGTGTAAACTACACCCTCCCTTTCATTTATGTATTATGCCTAGCATATGCATTAAATTATAACTAACTATATTAAATTTAACTCAAATATCACTTTCAAACTTAAAAAAATACTTAAATGATTTCAAAAAATAAGAAACACAACCTAATATCATTATGTCACATACATCGCGTAGCGTAAATAGTAAACAACATGATTGTATTGTAATTAAAGAAATAGACATAACGAGCACACTCGTGATACGATATAATTATTAACTTGAAAATAGTCGGTAACTAAATTATTATAAATACATTCAGCTATGTCATGCCCCCTATCACAGTACCTATTATGAATGTAAGTATATATTATGAAAACTCCGCCCAAACATAGTGCTAGCGTGTAGCGTGACAATAACATTGAAGAAAACGTGTTGTAGATTAAAATAGAAGAAAACAATTTATACAAAAGTGAATGAGAAAAGTTTAATAAGTAATAGGAGATTCAAATAGACTATAAGTAATTGAACTAGTATAGTTAATCATTTGTAATAGAATCAATAGATGAACAGGTATAACATTTGGTCCTGAGGTAGATTTATCTAGTTAGTCGAAATTTCTGTTGAACTTAAACAGCCACAGGGATCGACAATAAATTATTATATCATTTAATAATATTAATAACATCAGGTTATACGGCGCAAATTACAATGACTTAGTGAGTGCATAACGTGAATCGAAAATAATCCTAATACCATTACATACTATTATGCGGCCCGTTAGTACGAGGCTCTACTAAAGTACCATCAAAATTGTATCTTCCTACTTATTCCACTTACATAACATCGCCGAGGTGTTGTCTGGCTGTAAGTTCACGATAAAGTTTGTAAATTATTATAAAATTACAAATGTGTTACAACTATTACTACTAGCAGTCTTTAAAACCTGATCTTGTATGTTTTTACTTCCATAGCGTTCAGGTGGATGTCACTCAGACCAGTGAGGGGTCGGAGTGACTTCAGGCCGGTCAGGCTGACTGCAGTAATATTCTGAATGTTCAGACCATTGAACCTGGTTTTGGACGAAAACTTGGGAGACTTGGCGACTGGCTTCTCTCCGACGGCGCAGCTGTATCCTGGTCTGTGCAGCACCATGTAGCTCTCGTTGCTGGGGAATAGTTCGAGCACGTCGTCGGTGATAGTGCGCAGGGTGACAAGGTGGATGCCGGGCGGGAAGCTCTGTAGGAAGGACTGGTATGGTTTCACCTCGATTTCACCGACCTCGCTAGTGTCCACCAGGTACACGTTGACCGGGTAATTGAACGTCCTGCTCAGGTAGTCCGCAGTCTGCGACGGCACTTGGTAAGGGCTTTCCTTTTGGCCGGGGCCAAATCGACGCTCATTGACAAATTTGAAACCTGGTTCGCTAGTGTCTCTCTTAGCTCGCGTTACGCCTGGCATGGATTCGATTAAAATCCAGTTCTGGAAAGTAGTCGGTTTATTATCGACTACTCCTTCACCGATACCTCTGAAGTCATCATAGAGCGTTCGACGATCGAGCATCACTTCTAAGCGTCCTGGTTCGTATGCGGCTGCGCCTTGAGCGTGATTCGTGAGCAGAGTGAGCCGGGTCTCCTCGTCTTGCAGCCATGCCATGGTAGTAATCGGGTAGTAATTAGCTTCTATTCCTAGTTTATTCACTTTGACTCTCTTTTGGTACTGGAACCCATTCTGATCGGTGTAAAATTCGGGAATGTCACCGTTTTGTATATCAGTCTGTAATCTCATAAATAACTCAGTCTCTCTGTTCTTGGGTGGCGCCTCGAAATCTACATCGGTCTCTAAGAGAATAGCACGCGATAGTACCGGGTCCGGTATGTTGTATATCCTAATAGTGTGCACCAAGAAGGGCAAGTACATGGTGGTAATTTCCGTGGAAATTGGCCCAGACACTATGATTATGTTATCATCTTGCATGTTGTTTTGATTAGTGTAAGGATGCAGAACATTTTTCTCAGGTGAGTCGTAATCAGGCATGAAGAGATAGGCACCAGAGTGTCTTTGGGCACTTTGGTATGCGCCGAATTGTACATCAACTACAGTTCTCTTCCGGATGTCCTTTCTATAGACCTGCCTCAGAAAGCCGGTGTTCCTATTGACGAGAAGTTTTAGCGCCGCATTTTCCAACTGTATGTCACCGGGCATCATTTTCTTAATTTGGAACACATTGGATTTCTGGTATTGTTCACAGTTATTGCAGAAAATTGAGCAATGGTGTGAAGTGTTCGTGTGCTCCTGCAACTTGTACGAGATGGAGGTGAGAGGCGGGATAGTCGCCACGAACATTACGTCGAAGATGGTGTCGCTCACGATACTCTTTCCGTTGTCTTGGATGGTGATGCTGGGCATTATCTGATACAAGACGTGCTTCCTCTTGTGAGTGTCGTATACCCGGATGTTGGACGTGTTGGACCTAACAGTGATCACTTCAGTACGAGTCTCAGCCAAGGGATTAAAAAGTATAACTTTCTTCTTGTCAATGAAAGACACTTGCAGCTTCTTAGGCGGTTTCCCGTAAGTTTCCCACTCAACCTCACTTTGTATAATGCTCTGTGAGTGCAGCGACTGATCAGGAATCATGATGGTAGTGAGCGCGGCCTCCTGCAGGCGGATGCAGTGATACAGACTTGTGAAAAGCTTGGTTCCGTAATCTTGCATCACACTGGACTTTGATGTTCCAGTAATCGCATCGTGATGTTGAAACAGGCCCAAGTTCCGTCGCGCGTAGATAAGCTGCTCGTAAGATTTTTCCAACTTTTTCTCAGAAGCTCCGAATCCTTGTCGACCCATCTGTTTGATGAAGTTCGATACGAGAGTGAACAAAATTTCTGCCGATCGTAGTTGATGTTCGAACTGACGAGCGAGGATTTTCTGGTAGGGTCTAGTAGTGTAGTAACCTGACCAGTAGGCCGGTTTACCTTCGCTGAATATATCAGAGTATACGAAGAAGTCTCCTTTCAAGCTGGGTATATTTTGATGTCTCTCCTTCATAGCGTTAAAGTAATCGAGAGGAGTTCCGAATTGTACGTCAGCGTTGAAGATTTCCTTATGAGCATTAATGTAGTTAAACATCTTCATATAATTGACGTATTGGGCATCAAACTCGACGCTGTACTCGTATCTGAAGTCGTCGCCAAGCGGCACCAGCACCACGTTGTGCGGCGTCAGAGACCCGATACGGTCGTACTCCTCTATCAAAGTCTTCGCCTTGCTGTGCAAGTTGTGTTCCGTAATGTCTTCATGTTTAGCTGTGTATTCAGAGTATTCTCCGGGAATTTTCCTGAAGTCGAAACTGAGACAAATTGAAGGGTGGGGACCGCACGTGCTCTTTATTGAATAAATGTCAAACGGTTGATTGTGGACAATCATGGACGGCTTCGTGGTAGCCCAACTCGCCAGCCAGTAAAACTCTTCAATCTGTCGCTCGGCCAGCCACTGTTTCCACGCGTAATGGATTCTCTGTATAATGGTTCCTTCAAGGCCGCTCTGGTCAAGCAGGTAAGGCACAGTGGCCCCGTGACCGAAGGGGTCAATAGACCACCCTGTCTTCGGGATGACGCCGAGATTAGTTTTCACCCAGTGATGGCCTATGGAATAAATCTTATTGTAATATCTGAATAATATTTACCTCAAAAACGTATGAAACAAATGTATGTTACCTTCGATAAACTGGTCAATTAGCGCATAGATATGCGTGCACGCTTCATCAGGCATCACCCAGCCGCCCGTCGTGATCTCAAGACGACCTTCTTTAATAAGTTTTTTCAATGCCTGTAATACATTTAATTATTATATTTTTTTGTTTAATGAGTACTGAGACACACTGTGAAGTGTTCGGCAAGAATTGACCACAATCTGTCCAGTGAACCGCGGGGTTATTTTATCGCAGCATGATGTAATTGGTGTGCAGGTGACTGCACGCCTACTGCCGGTTTAAATCCTATTGTGGCTGTGTTTAATTAAAATCATGAGCGAATGAAACGTTACTTTTATTCATTTTTTAACTGCAATTGTAATTCACAGTTCTCAGTGCTTCGATGAATGATAGATACAAAGAATAGATTAATGTATTTATTCATATGAGAATCAGTTAATAATAATATAATTAAGAGTGCCTCTTATCGGTTCAAATTGGAAAGGTGAGATTTTTAAAACCCTTGTACCATTGTTACAAACATATCTCCAATAAAGCTGACTA